TCTTATTTTTATCTTATTTTATTTTATTTTTATTTTATTTTTATTTTATTTTTATTTTATTTTTATTTTATTTTTTATTTTTATTTTTTATTTTATTTTCTTATTTCGTTTTTTGTTTTGTTTTTGGTTTTATTTCTTGCTTGGTTTTATTTCTTGTTTGGTTTTGTCTTGTTTTTTGTTTGGCTTGGTTTGGCTTGGTTTGGTTTGGTTTGGTTTGGTTTCATCTCATCTGATCCTGGCTTTGCGGAGGAGTACTTTTAGAGCTAGCGTAGCGTACCGGTAGCTCAGGAGAGACGGGAGAGGGGGAGAGGGATTGGCGAGCTGAAACTCCGTAGTCGAGGTAAGCTCCGTAAGCTAAAGCTCCGCAAGCCAAAGCTCCGCAAGCCAAAGCTCCGCAAGCCAAAGCTCCGTAAGCCAAAGCAAGGAGACTCAAGAAGTGTAAAGAAGAATACACCATCATCTCTCTCCATTTCAGTCTCAGTTGCACACACCCTCGAGGCGAGGCGAGGCGAGGCGAGCTGATTCTGTTCAAGACATCTTGGACATTTCGCAAGAGGTTACCTAGATGGATGGATGGATGGATGGAAGAATCACCATTAGGTCCTACTCCCAATATGGACCCAGGGGGCTGCGCAATTTCCGACTAACGCATCTTTCCTTGTATCAGAAAGAAGAAGATGGTAAGGGGAGGGAGACACGATCAAAGCGAGTTTTTTTTTTAAAAAAAAAAAAAAACAGAGATAAAGCAGAGAGAGCAGTATTGTTTGTGAGCGGCGTACCAGACCGATACTTTTTGTAAATTGAAATGGATTTCCAGAATACACTTCTAATCCACTTGACCCTCTTATCCCTTTTTTTTCGTCACCCTCGTAACTTTTCCACCCCCTCCTCCTAATGACTGCCTCGTTCACTCCACCTATCCACTGATATACCTCGTTTTACACCTGCCTACCCGAATAATATCATTCCCGTTCATTGCATGTCATGTCTGCCATTCATAAAGTCACACCTTCTCCACCGCCCCGCCTGATCCAATAGGTATGTTCATGCACCCAATAACCCAAATCATAGTCCATAATCCACCAACTTTTCGACTAGTAACTGTGAACAGGGAGCAGATTGAGTATCAAAGAAAGGCAACAAGGTATGTATAACAAGCATCCGCCAACATAGGTACGAGCCAAGCCTCCAAAGCAAAGCTGCAAAAGTATTAAATCTCCCACCCCCAAATGCAGCAGGTCCGGATCTACCAAGACCTGAACTACCGTTTGAATAAAGATCCGGGTGCACCGAAGATCGTAAGGTGCAAATTACATTAATAGTGTCGTTGTGTCGTTAATTTTCCGTTAAAGGCGTGAAACCTTAGGTGGCGGAGCCGTCGCCTTCCAGAACTCGTATGGCGGCATCCAGACGTCGTCTCCACACCCTGCCTTCGTAGCTCGCACGTCCTGCTTCGTGGAGTTCGAGAACGCATCTCCCCAGGCTGGCCACAAGTCTTTCAACGAGGGCCTGGTCGTCTCTAGCGAGCATGTGGACAGGAGATGGCTGTCGCCTCTCCCCGTTGGTAGTATCCGTCGATGTCATGGAATCGCTCAGGATCGAGGGCGAGGCCTGCATTAGAGACCCAAGGGTAGGTGCGCTAGATACGCTGATTTGCTGAGACTTCGATTTGTTGACCAGAGGAAAACTACGCGACGTGCCGTTGGAAACGAAGGATTCGAAGGACCCTGCAGAGGGATGGTGGGGTTTGCTTGCATTTCTCTGGCTCCGATCGTGGCCCGCTGAGCTCGATCTTGTAGTAGGGTCAATGATAAAAGAATTGGGATCGTCTGATCGAGTCATCGTGTCTGAGCCATAAGTCAATCGCTCTGTTGCTAAAGATGTAGATGTGATTGAGTGAGCTGGGAGGGCAGTCACTCGCTGAACTGCGAATCTGTTTGGCTCCACTTTCTCTTCCTGGTCTTCGTAGTAGTCCCCATTTTCTGATTTGTTGCCCTCTGTTGCTGTTATAAAGCTGGCGCTTGTAGACACCGAGTCGCTACTTTCGGTTCTGAAGTGTGTTCCCAAAGTTTTCCTCGCGGGACTGGCTGAAATGGGCACAGCTTGCACAGTTTCAACCGAATCTTCTGAATTGAAACTTCCTCTTCGTTCCATTCTTTGCTGACTGATCGTCCCCAAAGCACTGTGCAGAAAGAAGTGCTCGTAATCGAATGCATCTTCACGATCTTCGTGAGATAACGGAGTCGACTGAGAATCCTGGTAAAGCGAGGCATCGCTTTCATACTCATCCTCCTCCTCATGGTCGAGCATCTCTCCGTTGCCGTCATCACCGATCCCCCGATCCAGGTCCTCGTCGCCATTGGCGTAGGACCCAACCATTGTTTCGGGGCTTCCCAGATCACGGTTCTGTTCCGGTTCATACGTACTCTGATGCTCGTTGACGTCCTCATATATACTGGTAATATCAGAGGCGGTGCTATCGTCCGGCATGTCCCTCGGGGTGCCGTCAATAACAAAGTCATGCTTCGCTTCCGCGTCCCCAGTCTCTGATCCTTTCCAAGGAGGCGAGGCGACTCCAGCATCAGCACCGAGTGGATCCCCATAATTTTTCGAGGAAGCATACCACTGCTCAGCTGCTGTGAAGGGACTTGGGATCCTCAAACTTTGCATACTCCGGCGTTTCATCGTATCATCCCGCGCTCGGTCCCTTAGAGCCGAAAGTCGTCCTTTGAGATCAGACATTTGATCCTTAAGTTCTCGCATCTGCGCGGAAGATGCTGTTCGAGTCAAACCCCGATGTTCCCCATTTGACCCCACATATGTATCGACACTGGATCTAATACTTTCTCTATCCGCATCAAAATCAACACGATCTTCGTGCTCATTGAGTGGCTCTAGAGTCGCATGTGTAGGGGAAGATTTGCTCAACGAAGAGGCATATCCAGAATGAGACGGGGTTCCGGTATCCTCGCGAATTGTCTGTGTTCCCGAACTCGGCTGTGGCGACCGCCTGTTCAAGTCGCTGCGGCCAGCAAGCTGCGCTGCTGCACTTGCTGAGCGCACAGGAATTGGTATTCGAAATAGCGCTACTCGCTGGGACGAAAGAGTCGAGTTTTCACTGCCGCGTCGGGCATGTCCTAGGCTCACAGCTTGGGCAGACGTGGGCGATGGTCTTTGTTTCGAGGGGGTTGCCAACTTGTCATTTTGAGGAGAAGGTGTCGATCGGGACAGTGGGCTGCTGCTATGTATCGATGACCCGGATCCAGATCGAGTTACATATAAAGTGCTACGCGCTCGAGTTAAGTTGCCTTCCATGTTCTGGTTCCAGAGTCAGCGCAAACGGACATACAGAATTCTCGATACCCACATTGAGTCTTTTTTTGGCATTTGAGAGGATTTGTTCCGCTCTTCTGCTCAGTGCCGCGCTAGAATTGCGATCTTCTTCAGAGTGAAACTCGGAATCCCTAGTCGCTAATCGCTTTGTCTCAGATGCGATTACTTGCTCGGTGTGCGAGTCTGCGACGCTCTCCTCATCGTCTCCTTGGAAAACACTATCATCTACACTTATATCATCGTCGAAGTCCTGGAACAGCTCCGCCGTCCGGCCTTCTGATGTGATGGTACTTGCGGAATCGACGGAAACTCTCTTCTTATGGGTACCCGTCTGTGTTCGCTTCATAACGGCCGCATATCCGATTGTTGGACTCGATCTCATCGGTGTACTGTTTCCCGACGCTTGCTGCTGCTGCTTCAGAAGCCTGCGCTCTGCAGGTCCTGGCAACCTACTACTCGTATTCTTCCCTAGTGTGCTCTCCGCCTCTGTCACTTCCCCGATATCCGATAGCATGGTCCCGTTCCCGTATATGATGGGTGTTGTTGAGGCTATTTTCCCCATTGAGGTGTGCATATTGGCTTGCCTGGAGTCGTCGTCCCAGTCTTCGCCTGAGGAAGCTGGTTGTCCAAAGTCGTATTCGCCGTAAGGAAGGATCATGTCGGGGTTTGTGAGGGTTGGGGATGCCGGGAGGGGAATAGAAGAATAAGCCTTTGACTTTGCCATCTGCGCCGTCGTAGTAGTCGTAGTGAACGTGGTCGTGATTGTACCGCCGGCCGTCTGCGTTTGCAGATGCATTGTTTCCGGGTGCACTGAGAAGACAGTGCAGCGAGCGGCCCTCGAACGTAGAATCACTAAATGAGTGTAGATCTGGGAAGCTGTTTGTGGCAATGACACCTGTAAAGCGCATACGGAGCTGGAGACCGTCGATGCTAGAGCAAGTGCGAGTGCTATGGCGTTGCGGTGCAGAGCTACTTTAGGCTTCAGATGCACAGTAGGCAGATGTCAATGCCAATGCCCTAAGAAAAAGCATAGGATGCGCTCCTGCAAAGAAACCATGGTCACCCTGTCATATTGAGAGACCCAGACTGGGCGCGAAGGCTTACTTAGGTACTATTTAATGGAGGTGCCGGCCTGAAATTTGGATGCAATAGTCCGCTAATAGGCACTGACCAGCTACCTATTATGTACGTAGTACCTTATACTCAATTTACCAATAGATCCACCTACCGGTATTGTTATGATTTACATACGTAGTACTTAGAAGATAGGGATTCTGGCTTAGCTCTGTTTTCCACCATTGTACGTAGTACGTACCGGTAGTATATTATCATTTCGTAAATCCCCTATATCCCGGCCCTCTCTAGAGCAATAGTATACCTACGTAGTACCTAAAGTGACATACCGCCGCCGTGATATACCCGCCTCATGACGATATTCAAACTATAATAATTTCGTTAATGAAAGGATCTCTGAGCCGAGTTACGTAGTAACTCATTCCGAGGCCAATCGAAAATAAAATTGCAAGTTAGGCAAAAGGTACTCCTGCCAATGATTATTCTCAGAGCTGGACCCTAGATCCTTCTGCCTGACAAATTAAATAATTGGTCCATATACCTATGCGGTTATCGAAAATCCCAATCGACCAATATAGATCCGACCCGCGCGAATGAGAGCGTGTACTTGGTATCTGAATACTTAGCAATCGATGCCAAAGGTGCTCTTGGACATTTGGAAATCTTCTCTGTAATACCCTGTGTGACTACCCTTCTAGCGTATGCGTTGGTTGGTTCCGATATGGTAAGTAGCAGTTGTGTATATGCAAAACGATCTGAGTGATATGATTTATCGATATTTTGAAAGCCAGTGTGCCAACCCAAAGAATACCAGCGTTTTATAAGGCTTTTATTGTACCGCAGCGTCGGACCGTAGCATCTCTATCTAGCAGGCTGATTGAATATAATAGTCAGTGCGGAGCCCGCAGGGTCAGAGTCAGCGCACTGACTATTATGCCCAAGCAGATGCTAGAATTGTAAAGGAGTTGATATTCATAAGTAGCAATCTCTTCCGTAAATACCCGGCCATTTGGACGTAAAATTCGAACCCGTCGTAAAAGATTCTCAAGACCACAAATATTCCTTAGTTGTGCGCCAAACTGAGTGTCCGATACGTACGTAGTACGTAGGTACAACGGTAAGTGTTCAGTTCTGAAACCTGTGAAGCTCTCTGTTCCAACCTTAACCGTGCCAATCCGCGGTTTTGGTTTGAACCCTTGGCCAGATGCAAGGACCCTTCAAAGAACCTTTCGAAGCTGGAGGTGATAGGGTTAAGACCATCTCAAGCATTCGTGTCCTTAGAATCAAATGACCAAGTCTCTTAGCACCTTACGAATATGCGCGAATCATCCGCCTAATGCCCTAGTGGGAGTCGATCGCACAGCTTTTGGGGCCTTATCTCGGAGGACAGAACCTTCAAGCTCCTTGTCTGCGTTGCGCGTTGCAACGCATCATGGTTGGGACGATATGTGGTATAAACATCTGGAAGAGAGAACGATTGCCGAAGCAGCGCTAAAAGCAATTGCGGATGAAAGACAGAACAATGTTGGAAGAGTACTCAAGCAAGTACCGGTAAGCCAGCATGAAAAAGCAGCATTGATAGTGTCATGACTTGATAGTTTTCGCTAATAGTCAGTGCGCTGCCTTATAGAGAAGGTAACCTGCTGGCACCGAGGAAGGTTTCGATGCTTTGTTGATTCTACTAGGTACTGCAGTACGTACGTAGTACTACGTAGTAGGGGAGAGTTGATAGTAGCCATGTGCCTGTATTTGACTTCTACAACTAATAGTAATTGGCTCCAGCTTAGTTTGGAGGTCTCCGTACTCCGTATCTACCAATTGGCCTTGTGCGCAATCAACGCACTGATCAGTAAATAAACAGAGATTAGACGTTATTAGCAGCCCCGCGCGCCATTCTTGCAGTTTTCAACGGAGTAGGGACTCCGTACGGATACGGGAATAGGGGTAAACCCAATATTCCAACGGGAGGAGACGCTGAAGGATTGACATTTCAGTCTCTTTTGAGCTCTCTCGGTACGGCCAAAGCAGCTTGGCTTAGATTTCTGAGTCGTATTTCTTTTCCTGACTAGGGAAACTTATTTTTGATATTAAAACTACATTCAGAAGCTACTGCCAGCGCTGTCTAATCGTCGCTTACCTTAAATCATAATTCGAAGAGATTGGCCGACTTGCTGTAGCACCAGGTCGGGAATTTTACAAATTAAATTCAAGGTAACCGACGATTAGCGGATCCATTCTGTTCTGAGTTAATCTATGGCATGAAGAAGTATCAAGTCATACGTAGTACTACGTAAATCGCGGTTCGCACCCCCAAGCTCAAGCTTACCATACTGCCTCGCCTCAGAGATTTTTTTAAGTCATCGTCATCCATTCCAGCTCAAGGCCAGGGAACTACTGTATCATCGTACTGGCAGCTGAATCTTATGACCAACTGGAGTAATCAAATGCTCTACGCTTATCCAGAACGGTGATTCCCACCGAGCAAAGAAAAGTCAACAGGTCTACACCGAGCTTGACCGAGCAGAGCCTTTCATACGAAACTTGATGAAATCCTTATCTTATGTTGGTGGATATATTGTAATCGGACGGCCATCTAATCTGATTCGTGTCGAGACGCATCCCTGATCGTGGTTTACGGAGTAGAGACTGAGCTGTACTCCACTTACGTACTACGTAGGTGTCTTTTGGTAGAAGTAAATCTGGTCACTTGGAAACTCGTAACTAGGAACTAGGAATTGGAACCTTGAAAACGTTTCCAAGAATTTCTAGGAATTGATTTCTATTCCAGAACTTGTTTGGTCACGCTTCCTAGAATGTGTGACTTGAGAATACTCATCGTTTGTTGAGTTGATCATTAATGCCGACGCTCCTCCGATCAAGTATGAAATAAGAAATATTTATTATGAAAGTATCTCGGTCAGCTTATTGAAGGTCTTTAGTGGCGTGGGGTATTACTATCTACTACGTAGTAGGTAGTACTATTCACATGAAAACATGTGCGACACAGTTTAGCCCCATGAGTCGTAAAGCGCTGGTTTCTGAATGGCTCAAAGCCTTGTCAACTCTATTGCACAGACTGAATACTTGTCTAAAGATAGTGGTACTTTTCAAGGCTGAATTCTTATACTACGTAGTACGTACAGTAAATTTATTGGTGTAAGCCCTGGTAATAGCCCTTGCAAAATTATACTTTGCACATATACTACGTATTAATAGGGGGGATAGTAAGTACTAGTACTACCTACGTACGTACGTAGTAGTACCGGTAGTACGTAGTACAACTACTAATACGTAGTACGTAGTACGTATTGTAGTTGTAAAAAGGTTGATATGAAGTTCAACTTTATAATTTTCTTACTATCTTCGAATAGGGTTTTAAAGCTGAAACAAAAGTCCGTGGGTTAAAGAAAAGTACGGAGTAGAGACTAGGAATTAGAATTGTGGGTTCTCGGGACTATGAACTGCTATTCTCTACTACTTCCCACGTACGTACGTAGTAGTAGTTTCGAGGTCGGTTCCTAGTTCCTAGTTCCAAAACCGAGTTTTCAAATCTTAAAATTCTATACCAAACGCTGATTATCTGAAATAGGAATTGCAAATGGCTCGGAAACAGCACTAGGAGGCGTTACCAAGCGGGCCCTTACTGACATACACAATATGGCCTTTCCTATAATTCTTTTCCCGGTTGTCAACATGTAGGCAGAGAGTCCCGTTCATTTTCAAAATGAGATTCCCATTATTAAACCCTCGGATTGTTTCGACGGCGGCACTTCTCATCAGGAATGCAACGTCGCGAGGCCCAAATATACGAAGGGTGGAATCTGACTTGTCAAGGTCATGCTCAGAATGGCATTGATTATCTCTTAAACCTTGCTTATTGAAAAGTTACTGGTGTATCTCGAAGATTCGCTGCACCTGAGGTATCTGTACCCATTGCAGGCACTGTGCTAATAAACAATACCGTTCCTGGACCTGTTTGCCTGCGGGATATTCTTAGATGGGACGCATCTGGTTTCAATACAACCGATCAATCCGAAATTTACTCGTGGATAAATTGGACATTGTAGATGTTACTGTCCATCAGTCAAATAGCAAAACAAGTTGCGTAGAGAACGCGAATGTTTTATTGATTTGTTTACTTTTGAGGGGAGAGCTCGCTAAGCAAGGCGAACACTCCTTTTCCATGCCAGTGCGAGACGATTCGACGCAAGCCTACGCTCAGAAATCGGGCTTAATGTTGGTACCTGGTTATAGACCGTCAGCACTTCACCAATTCTTCACAGTCTTCGAAAAAGGTGGCATTTTCACGGTTCTGGGTGTTGTGCTGAGCTGAGTGAATGTGCTTGCCTGAGGCCATAACAAAATTCTAACCTCTAAAATCAGGCTGCTTGCGTGTGAGCTAGACGTCGACTTCGTAAGAACCACAACGACGAATACGACCGCAACAATCAATCAATCAATCAATCAATCAATCAATCAATCAATCAATCAATCAATCAATCAATCAATCAACTTCATACGTACCTAGCCCAGGACACAATCTACCCAGCATGGAGCAAAGTCAAGAAGGACCCGAGGCGGCGGCGGCGCCTTTCCCGTCGAACCCCGAGGAGTTCGATTCCGACGAGCGAATATCCTTCTCGAAGCTCGACAACAAGTTCCTGCTCGTCCAAGCCGACGGCGCCGAGTTCGAGTTTGACGACGCGCTGCGTAAATGGCGGCCGGTAGTGGATGAGGCGCTGCTGGAGGAGCAGCAGAAGGCTTACATGGTGTCGGGCGTGGACGAGGCCGAGCCGGTCGATGCGATGAAGCGGAAACGCAAGAAGGAGTATGTCAACGGGGAAGACGTAAGCGGCCACCCACTCCCTTCTTTGCTCTACAGGATATTTTCCAAATCGGAATATAATTCTACTATCTCTTGTATTCTAGTGGCAACGCAAGTAAGTATCTAGCGGGACTAAACAACAGTGCGTATATAGGAAGGTGGACGTGCAAGCAAGGCGCCCAAGAAGGCAAAAGCGCCACTGCCCCCGCGACCCAATACCGCAGTCTATGTAACCGGCCTCCCGCACGACGCAACAGTTGCAGAAGTGCACGACGTCTTCTCGCGCAAGTGCGGGGTCATCGCGGAGGAAATCGACAGCGGCAAACCCCGGATCAAGCTCTACACGGACGCGAATGGGGCCTTCAAAGGCGACGCCCTTGTGGTGTTCTTTAAGGCTCCCTCGGTGCAGATGGCCATCACGCTGCTGGACGACACGGAGTTTCGATTCGGGGATCGGTCAAGCGGGAAGATGCGGGTGCAGGCGGCCGAGAGCAGTTACAAGAAGGTGCAGCACACGGATGGCGGTGAGGCTGGTAGCGCTGCCGAGACGGAGAAGAAGAAGACGAGTATGAAGGACAAGCAGAAGATCATAAAGAAGACCCAGAAGCTCGATGCGCGGCTAGCGGACTGGGGCGACGAGGAGCCGTCGAGCCTTGTCGAGACGAGCTCGCGCTGGGACAAGGTGGTTATTCTAAAGCACATGTTCACGCTGGAAGAGCTGGCCGAGGATCCGGCTGCGATACTGGACATCAAGGAGGATATCAGGGAGGAGTGCAGTAAGCTCGGAGAGGTGACTAATGTCGTGCTCTTCGACCTGGAGGAGGAGGGCATTGCGAGTGTACGATATGCGAATGGGGAGGCGGCCAAGGCGTGCGTGCGGGTGATGGATGGGAGGAGCTTCGCCGGCCAGAAGGTCGTAGCCTACATCTCGGACGGCAAGGAGCAGTTCAAAAAGTCGAAGAAGAAGATCGACGACGAAGAGGAGGCGGCGACTGACACGCCGTGATACCTGTGCAAAATATACCCGGTCAGTAGATCAGTTATATATTCTGTTCTTTCTGTATCAATAGTCTTTTATGCTGGAATGAAGCAAAAGCAACGCTGAAGAGCGATATCAAAACTTTTCCTGCCGAAAGTCGGTTATCGGAATCAATATGAACAACAAGACGAGCGAAACTGTTGGCCCGTTCTAGGACGAATCTCAATTTCCCATGAATCAATATACACATTTTTCAAACGAACCCAGCATACGCTTCGGCGAAAGCTAGAATAGGAATCTTACAAGCAAGCACCTTGGGAGATGAAAAACGGACAAATGCATATAATATCGTTGATTCATTGTCCAGTACCCCAATATGAATCCACAAACGCCATACTTTGTAGACAAGCTCAACGCCAATACATCCTAATATCTACCTACTCCCGTCGACTCAAATCAAGCGCTGGGGTCACTCTCCGGGACCTCCTCTTTCTCCCTCGACTCTTCGACTGGTAACTCCACCCCCTTCACCGGATGGATAAGCATCGGCGGTAAACACATCCTCCCCTCACCGCCCCTCATGCCATTGACGCCCTTCCCATCTCTCCCCTCATCAACCGTTGTCTCAAACTCCTCGCCTCCTTCATTGTTGACTTTGAAGCCCAACCATCGTCTCCAGAGGTTGGGCGCGAAGCCGGCATTGTAGTACCACGACATGCCTAACAGGTTGTGTTCTCTCTCGCCAAATACGCTCGTGCGCGAGCCGCCGGTAGCACCGTTCCTGCCGGCGTTCATAACGCCGGCCAGGTAGGCGGTGGGCCATTCGCGGTCGACGTAGACTGGGTGAGGTGCGTACACTGCCTTGTAGCCGTGGTGCAAGGCCGTGGTCGCAGCCCACATCTCGGAGAATGCGTGGTGTTTTTTGAAGGCTGTCTCTCGGTGCATGGTGTTTAACAGGCGTTTGGACATTCTCGAAGAGGTGACGATGGCCGCGCGGCGCGGAGGAAGCCCGTCGCTGGAATTGTAGCCCGTGATGTCTTTCTCAAGAAGCCAAGTCGTTCCCTCGGGGTCGAAAAGCGGGTTGAAGGTAATAAGGTCGGCGTCTTCGCCTACTCCCCATGTGTGTTTATCCTTCTCGTAGCTAGTGGGTGGTTTAGGGTCCCTCTCGATTTCGAACCAATCATTCGAGTCGTGAGGTCTTTGAGGTCCCCAGATTGGTTTGTCGCCTTTCCTCTCTGATCCCTTGGAGCCCTTGATCCCTGCCCAGATATTCTCCGGACTCTCTGTTCCCATATCCGTTTGCACTCGAACCATGTGCACGAAGTCCTCCCATGATCCATGTACCGATGGAATATAAAAGCGAGAACTCCTCTCCCACAGCCCTTTGCGAGGTTGCGTCTTCGCCCAAGAGCTAACTTGTGAGAAGAGATTGTAATAATGGCCTGTGTATCGAATATCAATCTCCCAATGCCAGAAGAAATCGTACTCCGGATGGACGTGAGCGAAATGTTGCATAGCCATCTGCAGTCCACGGTACGGGCCATGAACCGGGCGATCTCGAATAAAAGTGTCGAAGATTCCTTGGTATAGCATGAGCATCTGGGTCTCACTCCACAAAGTTGCGATGCCGCGGAACTCTTTGGGAACTGATTCGTTCAGGTGTTTCTGGTAAGTATCCTCATCCGCCCAAATTGGGTTCTTCGGCTCGTCCTTGACCTGGATAAGTAGATGAACATCGTATTCCCCACCAGAGCCAAGGGAAAGCTCTGATATCATTGCTCTGAGATGAAGAATGTCCTCCTCGCGGTATTCAAAATCGTCCCAAGACCGGATGACAACTGCATTCCGTGGTAGATGTTTCTTCGCGATGGTTGAGTTCGAAGGGACAATCCCTTCTTCCACAACTTCTTCCCTCTTCGCCTTCAGCTCACTGACAAAGAAACCCATTGGGGCCTTAAGCGCAGGACTAGTGGAATCAAACCGTTCTGCGTTGGCATTGTAGCATCTTTTCTGAGCTGCCGCCCAATCGACAGTCGAGTAATCAACTTGATTAGCCCTGGGATTGTTTCCCCAAGCATCTTCAGAACCTTCCATATCACCGTGTTGACCTGTACCAGTGCCTCCATACTTGGAAGCATAGCCGTAGCCGTAGGCGCCGAACCTACCATATCTCTCGAAACAGATATCTTCAGGTAGTCCGAGGACTTCATACGACCCCATAATATTGTCCGGGAAGCCCCTCGGTCTGCCGTCGTAGTGTTGTAGTTGAGGGACCCGCACCTTTGACTGTTCATCCAGGAAACACTCTTGCACTGGCGCGTATTCGCTCAGGTAAGCTTTCGATGTGTGGTTCTTGTATGCTTCGAATGGCCTGCTTGCGGGCATATCCCGGATTGGAATGCTCGAAGTTTGGTTCGATATCGGAATCTCATCCTCGGCTGTTGGGTATTCTGGCTTGTTCTCCGCGAGCGGTGTCAATGTCCTGATTCCCCCATAGTATCTCGTCAAGAATTCGAATTTCTCCCATGTCGGTGGACGAGGCGCCGGTCGTGAGCCTATATCTCCTAGTTGAACCCTTCGAGACGATACTATGCTCATCCGTACCAAGCTCAGCATAAATATAACGAGCGTCGATATGAGCGCTAAACAGAGATACCGAATTGTTCTGTTCGGTAACCTGTATGCAGGGGAGCGTGGAGGAGGGAGCGATTTCCGCCGGAGCATGGGCCGATTGGAGGAGTATGACCCTGATGTCTCGCGAGAAGAGATGGCGGAGGAGGAGTAGTCGGATTCATCGTCGGAGTCGTCTTCTGAGCTTTCGGGGTAAGCATTTTTTTCAAGGTCTTCATCTTTCTGCCGGAGGTTCCTTTGGGCCTGGGGCCTCGAGAATTTCGAAGGAGATGATCGCTTTGTGACATTCAATGTGTCCAGGGGGCTGAAGCCAGTCATATTGGACCACTTCGCAAGGAATGCGGATATCTATGTCGATCAGATTTTTACACGTGGAGTTCATATGGCAAGCATGAACTCACCTCAGGATTCCATATGCGAGTGTATTAGGTAGGTACAGTTATTTGAAAAGATGCGAAAATTTCCAGCACGTCGACGTCAAGAAGCTTGAGCGCCTAGCAGTTGTATGTCGCGGTACCATGGGTCCATGACAGAATCAAAACATCAAGATCCGCCTCTGTTGATCCAGCAACGGTAGCCGCCTTTCGGAACAAATACTTAGGTAAGCGAAGCTTATCTGTACTGTACCCTGTACCTGGCCTGGGCTTAAGCCATGGAACTTCTTTCGTGCCTATGAATTTCAAGTTCAAATACCGCTGCATCTCGACACCAGGCCTTTGCCAACCTCTCCTCCTCCCAGGTCCGATCCGGAATCCAACTACGCACGAGGAATTGGTACAACTACTATTTGAAGAAGCATTGCTCCCCGGCCCAAGCCAATCCGACACGACAAGCGAGACACAGACCCAAATCTCGAGGCTGCAGTGCAGTGCTAATGCAGAGCCCAAATCCTGGAGACGGTCCTACTGGTCAATTCAAAAACACAGCAGGCCGTGTTAACGGCTTGTTAGTGTACCGCAACATCTGCTGCGTCGCTGCGAAGCGAAAAGAAGAAGGGAAATTAGTAGACCACCTCTCGCCACGAGACAAGCAACAACGAGCTTCAGGACTTGGTTGGATCCGATAGGCCTTGCATTGCATAGGAGAGTGGACAATGGCCCTGGCTGGGCGCAATACGATATCACTTTTATATACAGCAAACTCACATTTATATCGCTCTCTTCGGCCTGGATTTCTACGGCAACCGTGATACAAAGAAAGGCCCTAAAGGGGTATGGAGGCACATGCAGAGGGAGAGAGAGAGGTCCACCTGGTAGATATCTGGGTGGCAATGGATGATAAATTGCCACACCCGGTGTACAGTCTACCGTGTATAAAATGCTGTTGTTGGTTACACGGTCAGGTCAGTCAACCTTTCCGATCTTGTTCCTGTGTATACGCCACGCCAATGCCACACTAAGTATGCCATGCAGGCTTGCGTAGCCCGGCATTCTTCACTGAGACCGAAACAGACAGAAAGGGGACGGAAGAGAAAGCAATTCATGGATTCATGGACAACCTTATTTATTCTTTCAGCTGTTAATTTTCAAGGTCTTAAAGTCATTTCCAGGGCTGGAGTACTTACGTTACGGATAACTCACTTGATCGGGACACGGGCCGGCACATCATACAATTTGATATCACTATCATGGTCAGAAATCCGGTTGGGACGATGTCTAAAGCTGCAAGAAATTATTGGATGCCTCATAAGCGGAAATAAGGTTGGTTACCTTACTTACAACGTCACAGGCGTAAGTGTTACACGCTGAGGGTAGGGCAACCAGGAGGTTTGAAGTGGAGATTTAGACTTTTAGGGCATCCTCAGGCTGTAACACTTAGGCCTGTATCGTGGTACTTTCCTCACTTGTGTGTCAGTCAAAGTCAGTGGGCCCCTAACGGTTTGGAGAGGAGGCTCGACCAGTGACCATGCGCCCTCCTCCCCTAGTTTGGGTTAGTTTTAGGTCAGGTTAGGTATTTAATGGTTCCTCTATTCTCGTTCCCTTCTTTTCCATTCCTTGACTCGATTTCTTTGCCATCTACTCACTTCTCTCTCAACTCCTCCATTCCCTCGGCTGGCCGTCATCGTCCTATTAAGGGGATCGATCAGTCCAAACGTCTTCTGCGTTCTTGTACTTTCAGTAGAATATCATCATCCTCCATCATTAAGAAACTCACTTATCGCTGTATCCAAAGCACCCAGCGCTTGACCTCCCATTACACTCGTGCCTGCTAAGGGCTCTTCTTTTAGCTCTTGCTTTCTTTATTGGGTATTGAAGCTACTCAATTAGTTAGGCATCACCTGACTCGCTTCCAATTCAAACCTCAACCTCAAGCCAATCGAACCGAGGCGAGCCAACCCTCACTCAAATTTAGTAATTCCCCCTTCAACCTACAACAATACCAACTCCCAATCTAATGCTTCGAAAGGAATGGAAACCTCGACTACAACTTCAAATACGACCACCCAGGTCTTTGTTGAAGAATCGGACTACCCGTCAGACCCTCCCATGTCGATAGCCCAACATGACATACTCCAGATAACTCTCAGCGGGCAGGGACTTGTGCTGACTATTCTTGCTCTCATCATCGGCATTCATATTCTGCAACCATCGCTCACCTGCATCTTACTTGTCCTGGCTCCGGTGCCTTGGATCATCCATAATGACTACTCGAACTTCCTCAGTCTTGGACCCGGAGGGACTCCTTCCACCTTCCTCGGATACCTCAAAATCACATACCTTCGTCTCTTTGCCCTGTCGGATCCCTACACCCCAGCAAGATTTTCCGAGAAGATTTATCCTGCGACTGGTTATTACGAACGAACACAATCGTGGATCCCCGAACGCACCGGTCCCCGTCCGAAGGTTGCGGGCATTGCTCCTCATCGTCAACTTGATCAAACTGGTTGCACCAAGATGAACCAACTGCTCCGAACCAGCCTTCAAAATCTTGCCATCAAGCACCCCGACACCTTGAAAATCGGAACCTCCTGCTTCGAAAAGAAAGGATTGGCTCTTTTCGCCCGAGATCCAATCAATGTCACCTGCCGTGGAGAGATCTGTCACATCCATTACAGTGACCTGAGTATGCACATGAACCTCCACCCAGATGATGCCAAGGTCGTTCTCGAGAAAGGATGGGGCGAGCGACACCCCCTAGCCCGTGGCGGTTGGTTGAAAGCTTACGTGCCCCAGGAGTTCATCATGGTTTATGCCCCCCGAAATCGCACTGAGCTGGAAGTGGTATGCCGGGTTATCGAAGCTGCTTGCTTCTGGGTGGGTGGCGAATGCTTCGATCTGAAGGTTGAAGGCACGCTTCTCGGGGAACGGGAGGCTGAAGCTGGGACAGATTTTCAAGTGAAGACTTGCGATGCATGAGGGCACGGGATGATGAAATTGAATTTAGCGGGGCGTGTATCTACAATACCCCTTTTGGTTATAGTTTGCTGCTTTGTTTTTCATCGCGAGGAAATCATGGTGTTGCCAAATTGGATCCATCCAAATAAGCAGACCTTTTTGCCAACGTAAAACTCTTTCACATCACAACCACCCACTCCTTACAACACATGAAATATATATGGGTGATGACACTTCACCCTCCAATGTGCTAGGATCTCCATTGGGAGCTGCATGAAGCACCTATCCGCAGATATAAAATTTTGCGCTTTCCCCGAAGCCTCGTTCTCATTCGTAGCAAACTAGCCAGCCAGCCAGTCTTTCTACACGAATTGGTAAACTAAGTCACTCTACAACTCTATTGATCCCGGGGTCTCTCTCTGTCTGCCTCGTAGCTACCACCCCCTCGAATACAAGTCAACGAATTCCGAATTCCATCCCTCCTCTCTAGTCCACCGAAGCAAAAAAAGCCAGGGTAGAAAGCTATGTGTATGTGTGAGAGAGAGAGAGATATACATATGTATGTCTAGATTATCACTATCAAAATAAAATCAAACAAGCACAGCACAGCACATCCAATGACAGGAGAGAGCCAGTCCTGAGTTGGGTTGGCATTGTGAATTTTTCTCGATTTCGATTCCGATTTCGACTTCGGTAGGTAGCCCGAGTGGCGGAGCTGAGTTGAGTTGAGTTGATTTGAGTACTTTACCTACCTAAAGGAGAATAGAAAAAGAAAAAAGGGACATCTCAGCTCAGGAAGACGACGTAGTTGTATTATTATCCTGCAGCCAGCTAACTTCTCACCTCCGCCTTCGTAGCATGCATACCTCTTCTGATCGATCGATCGAATCTGACATGGGGGCATTACAAAAACGTATGAAGTATGAACGGAGAAGAAGAAGAAGAAGAAGAAGAAGAAGAAGAAGCCGCCACCACCGCCGAGGCGAAGCGGAGTGTGTCGTCGTAGAGGTTCGTCGGTCTTCTTTCGTGCCATGCCCTGCCGTGCCATGCTAGCTGCAATGAGAAAACCCCTTTCCCCTCCCCTCCACATATGATCAAGAAACTCCATCGTCTGAAATTCCAAGAAAGGGAGAGAGGGGAGGAAGAGGAAAAGGAGGAGGAGAAAGAATTGGCAAACCAACGAACTAACTGGCGAGTAACACAAGCATAAACATGCCAGAAGAGAAAGCGAAAGCGAAAGAAAGAGAGAGAGAGAGAGAGAGAGAAAGAAANACGACGAACGACAGACGACGAGGAGG